TGGTCCAGGCTGCTAGTGTACCTACTAGATACCACCCTGAACATGCCTGGAGAGGAAAGTGGAGTAAAAGAGGCAGATGACAGTACCAAAAGAAGGGAAAAGGAGTTTGAATTTGAGCATTTTAAAATTTCCCCATGTCCACAACCAACTCCTACTTTGCTGCCTCCTTCCATTCTCTCTTTGCTATGTAAACACTGATATGCTTAGCCTTCAAAAGGCTGTAAAGTATGCTTTCCTCAGCAAGTATCCCATGATGCACCAAAATTAGCTTCAGAAGACATAAACAATATAAAAGACACACTACAAACAATGCGAGTGAGGTAGCAACTAAAAGTCTTTCTTTCTATACAAAAAAAATCCCAGGACTGGAGTGATTCGCTGCTGAATACTACCAAAATTTTAAAGAGGATTTAATGCCAGAACATCACAAAAAGGGAATAAACAATACCAAATGAGTTCTATGAAGCAAATATTAACATGAATCACAAACAGGATTCTCAACAAAATATTTGCAAACTGAAGTCAAAGACAAATTAAGATCATACATTATGATCAATTCAGTTGCTTTCAAGATATTTATGGTTGATGATTACATTCTAGCTAACAAGCAAAATACTCAATACAAATAGATTTTAGGAAAGAAATCACTTGATTCTCTTTATGACTGTGAAAGTACATTACTTGAGAAACTTCAATACACCTTTGTGAAAGAATTAGAAATACACAGAACATATGTCTACATAACAAATAAATATATACTTTATTATATACTATTTATTAATATATTTATTATATTATTAGTATATACTATTTATTATAATCAACCTTATAATAAATAGGGAAACGTGCTCTAAAATCAGAGGCAAGAGATGGACATCTACTCTCCCTGCCCTTAATGAATATAATGCTCAGAATCTTTGCTACAGCATTAGGAAGAGAGATATAAAGGAATTAAAACTGGAAAAAGAATAAATCAAATTATCCATATTTTCAAGGAGCATGATTCTGTACTTTCAAAAATTACACAGACTCAACCAGAAACTACCATAGGTCCTATTTATACCATTGCTCGTTTTATGCCTAAAGGACCCTAAATCTAATACAGAAGTCTATCTATTCTGAACATCCATCTATATTGCTGCTCTATTCCTAAAAACAAGGAAATAAAATCAGCCTGAATGTCCTTCAGTGGGTTAATAGATAATTAAAATGTAGCACATATGAAATTTTATAGTACATACTAGAATTTTATTCCTATTAATAAAAACTAAATTTCATGATTTCCTTGTTTTTAATTGCTGAGTAATATTCCATTGTGTATATGTACAACAATTACTGTATCCATTCCTCAGTTGAGGGTCATCTGGCTTGTTTCCAACTTCTGGCTATTACAAATAAAGCTGCAAATGCCTTGTTGTGTACTTGAACATCTTTTGGATATATGTCTAGGAGTGGTATAGCTGGATCTTGAGGAAGTGCTATTCCTAATTGTCTGAGAAAGAGTCAGATTGATTTCCAAAGTGGTTGAACCAGTTTACATTCCCACCAGCAATGGAGGAGGGTTCCCCTTTCTCCACAACCTCTCCAGCATGTGCTGTCACTTGAGTTTTTCATCTTGGCCAATCTGATGGGTGTAAGGTGAAATCTCAGGGTCGTTTTGATTTGCATCTCTCTGATAGCTAAGGATTTTGAGCATCTCTTTAAGTGTTTCTCTGCCATTCTATATTCCTCTACAGAGAATTCTCTGTTTAGCTCCATACCCCATCTTTTAATTGGATTGCTTGGTTTATTGCTTTTTTAACTTGTTTAGTTATTTATAAATCCTGGATATCAGCCATCTGTCTGATATAGGGTTTGTGAAGATCCTTTCCCAGTCTGTAGGCTGTCCTTTTGTTCTGATGAGAGTGTCCTTTGCTTTACAGAAGCTTTTCAGTTTCATGAGGTGCTCGGATGTAGCCCATGGTAGCTCAGCATCCAAGTGGATTCCCTAGTAAGGGGAACAGGGACTATTTCTGACATGAATTCAATGGCTGGCTCTTTGACCTCCCCTCTCCCCCCAGGGAGGAGCAGCCTTGCTAAGCCACAGAGGAGGACATTGCAGCCAGTCCTGAAGATACCTGATAAGCTATGGTCAGATGGAAGGGGAGGAGGACCTCCCCTATCAGTGGAAAGGAGCAGGGAGGAGATGACAGAGGGAGGGTGGGATTGGGAAGAAATGAGGGAGGGGGCTACAGCTGGGAAACAAAGTAAATAACCTGTGATTAATATAAAAAATAAAAAGTATAAAAAATAAATTTACAGAATTGACATGAAAATAAATACATCTAAAATTTACTATATTACCTGCAAAAAAAACATAGTCAAAAAGACCAATATCACATTTTTTTCTCATGCACAGATTCTAGCATTTGATTTTCATACCTGTATAATTTATGCTGTTGTCAGTGTAAGTCAGCCATAAAGCTAGAAAGAGGTCCATGAAAGGTGAACAAAAATTTTTAAAGAAGGGACATTGGGAAGCTATTAAAATGCATGAGACATGAACAGGCAGGCAAACCGCTGGGGCAGACATGTCTATAGCAGCAGATGTACTATGGCCAGGGCACTGGAAGGAGGAGGATGGAGGGCTAGCAGGCAAACAATGTATGCATTTCAGAATGGTGGAAATTATTCTAGTAGCTTCATTTGTTTAAAAAATTTTAATTAGGGTTGTATATTTTTGTCTTCCTACTTACTAATACCAAGTATATTTAATAATTCCAGAAGAATTAAGCATGTAGAAAACCCTGTAATAATATAAATTATTTTCTGAAACCAGCAAAAAAAAAAAAAAAAAAAAAAGATTCTCATTTAATAGCAGTATAAATAACTTTGTCCAGAATAAAAGTTAACACAGATGTTACTATGTACTGCCTTTGAAGACATGAATCAGTTTTGAATCTATTACTGCCCTCATTCCTCATCCCTTTGGCTAACCCTTTTACATCTGCTCCTTTGTTCCCTTTTGAAGTTGTCTTGACTCTGTACTGTCTCTTCGGTGTTTAGTGTAAGTGAGAAGTATGGAATACAGTCAAATGTTATGTTTGTAGGGGCCTCTCATTTTTAACAGCTTTTTGAGACTATTTTAAGCACAAAGGTCTTTAAATGATAGTTCAAAATCCAGAGAGTAGGTTGTCATGAGTGTCTTTCAGGGTTGCATTTTCTTATAAATATGTCTTAGCTGAGTATCTGTATGTAATTCACTACAGACGAGGTTTTGTGTCTTTGTAATTAACCTTTCCACACCAGAATCCTAAAGATTTTTATGGAGATATTTCTAAAGGAGGGAGTGTGAATTTCGGGTGACTTCACTTTGACTGACTTTTCCACTGTGAGCAGGTGTTTACAATGATTTTTGTCCACGTAGATGAGGTTCTAATAGATGCTGTCTCTCCATTGCATCTTCACATGAATAGTTTAAGCACAAAGACTTCCTGTCCCTCCACTGTTTATCTCCCTGTGGAGTAGAGGAAAGCAAACAGGAGAGACAGGCTTAGCCATCCCTTCAGGTGGTAACAGGAGTAGTTCCTCAGTGTCCCACACCTGATGCACAGGCCCATTGTACTGTCACTGTAGGGAGTAAAGAATCACAGAGCAGCATTCCCTTGTAGCCAGGAGTACAGACATATCTGCAAAAATGGTATCATGATTCTGTAATGACCTAACAATGTAAAAATAAGTACTTAGCAAAGTCACTTACAACTTGTTACTTAAAATCTAGTGGTTAATAAAATGTAACATTTACAAGGAATTATCTAGATTGTGTGTGTGTTTGTGTAAAACAAAAAAGAGAAATGGTAAAATTCTCCTGAAATAAAAGTATTTTACATTTAAATTTATTGTTGTTATAATTAAGGGGTCCTGGGAAAGGTTTGTAGATTTTCTCAATTGTAATTTACAATCAAGAAATCTTAATTTACTCCAGACAAACATGTTTTCTATTCTTGACTTCACCAAGTATTAAAGCAGAATATCACAGAATGATAACTGCAGCCATCCTTTGAGTAAATTTAGCAGCAACAACAATTATAGGGAAGTTGTTGAAGACATTATCTTACAAAACTACTTATTTTATTAGCCTACATTAAATAAATAGATAGATAGACAGATAGATGATAGATAGATAGATAGATAGATAGATTGATAGATGGATGGATAGATAGATAGATAGATAGATAGATAGATAGATAGATAGATAGATGACTTCTACCTACAAAAACAAGGATGTTCTATCCTTTTAAAAATTATGTTCTGCTTTCTGCTTTGGCATGAGGGGAACTGAGAAGGGGTATTGTACAGTTGGTGAAAATTCTGCACAACGCTTTCAACAAGTCCAGCTGAGAGATGTTGGTTCCAGTTCCAACCAAGGGTTGGAATGTGAGATTATGCACGCCATCTGGAAAAACATGGATCATTTCCTTTTACCAATGAATCAGAAATGGTTAAAAAAATTATGTTATATGACTTCAGTACAAAGTCTGACATATATATGTATGTATATATATATATATATACATATATATACATATATATATATATGATTAAAGGAAAAGAAAACCAATAAACTGTTAATAACAATACATACACTCTGCTTGAGTTTTCATTTAAAAATGTATTAATCAGGGGTTGGAAAGATGTCTCACAATTTAAGAGCAATTGTCACTCTTGTAGAGAAACTGGGTTCTATTCCCATCACTCACACAGTGGCTCACGACCATTTGCAATTCCAGTTCCAAGGGATCTAACAAATTCTTCTAGTTTTTTTATTTTTTATTTAACTTTTATTAATTACACTTTATTCATTTTGTATCCCCCCATAAGCCCCTCCCTCCTCCCCTCCTGGTCCCACACTCCCCCCCCTTTTCTGCATGCATGCCCCTCCCCAAGTCCACTGATAGGGGAGGTCCTCCTCTCCTTCTTTCTGATCTTAGTCTATCAGTTCTCATCAGAAGTGGCTTCATTGTCAGGGTTCTAGGTTATCTCCATGAAGAGTCCTTGGTTGGAGTATGAGTCTCTGGGAAGTTCCCTGTGTTCAAATTTTCTTGTTCTGTTCACAGTTTCTTCTTGTTCACAGTTTCTTGAACTGTGGAGTTCCTGTCCTTCTAGCTTTTGCTGACACCGGATTCCCAGGTGTTAAATTCTATGTACACATAGGAAAACACCTATGCCTATGAAATAAAATAAGTAAATTGAAAAAAAATATATATATATTTTAAGAAGCACTCCTCTAAGTGTTTTTAATCTGAGACTAAGCCAATTGTATGTAACAGCTGTATATCCTATGTAATTATGAGATAGCATGAATGAGGTCACACGTTTGTATTTCCAACATTTGTATAGAAAGCTAGTCATGGTGATACATTCTGTATCCTCAAGTTATAATAATAGTGCTGCATCTCTTGGCAGAGGAGGACTGCCATACTAATTTCAACAAAAGGGAGCCATATGCAACAATGTATGATGGTGTGCAGTAACTGTGGGCTCTATTAAAAACCCACTAACCTTTTTAGAATGTGCGTTGCTATCAGGGATTATTATGAACTACCATGAAAGTACATCAAATAACAAAATTTTGTCTTTCAAATCCTAATTATCAATTTCATTATCTCTGAAGTTAATTGTATTTATACAGAAGGAACATGCATGCTTGTAGAACAAACATCCTAATGCATTAATTTTGTCAATTTTATTTTTAATATTTTTAATTTATTATAATTTATTCCTTTTGTATCCTAGCTGTAGCTTCACCCTCGTCCCAATCCCACCCTCTCTTCCCCCCTCATCTCCTCCCATGCCCCTTCCCCAGTCCACTGATATGGGAGAACCTCCTGACTCTAGAACCATCTGACTCTAGACTATCAGGTCTCATCAGGACTGGCTGCATTGTCTTCCTCTGTGGCCTGGTAAGGCTGCTCCCCCCACAAGGGGAGGTGATCAGAGAGCCAGCCACTGACTCCATGTCAGAGACAGTCCATCTTCCCCTTACTTTATTTTTAAGATAAAAAAAAATTCTGGACAAGAAAAAAGTCCATTTCTTAATTAATTATTTTTTTCAGCTTTAATACCAACTTTATATTTGTTGCCTTTTGTTCAGAAGAAGGTTAATTTAAAGACTCTATAAAGAACTTAATAAGACTTATTAATATATAAGACTTATTATATAAACATAAATATAACTAAAAAGTAGATCCAAAAAAGGAATGATAGAACAGGACTTCAATCCCAGTACTCCAGAGGACAAGATATATTGAGTTCTATTGGTCCCAGGCCATCTGGGCCTATAGAGTAAGTTTCAGGCCAGCTGACAGTATAGAGTGAGAACCTGTCTCAAAAAAAAGATACAATTTCAAAATAATTGTAAATAATATAATAATAAATAATATAATTAGTAAATAATATAATTAGTAAATAATCAGTAAATAATATAATTAGTTACTTTCCAAGATAAGAAATACAAATAAATGATAATATATTAAAAATTCTCAAAATATTAAGTCACTGAGGAAATGCAATCCTAATCTACAATGAAATTCTTCTCAACCCAATAAAAATGGCCACATGAATAATAATAAAAAGGCGCAACAAGTGAAGGCAAGGGTACAGGTGGGAAAAAACATGTATCTATTGTCAGTAGGAGTATAGACTGCAGAAACCATTACAGAAAACAGCATGGACATTCCTCAAAAATTCCTCTACTACGGTAGACACAAAGCAAATGTGTTCACAGAACTTTTCTAAATATGACAGGAACCACAATAGCCATCAACAGCTAAACATACAAGGAAAAAGTCAAATATAAAATGAACCATCAAGCAGAATAAAATTTTATAATTTCGAGGAAAGCTGGTGTACATCATACAAGGGAAGTAAGCCGGACACTGAATGACACGGGATAACTGTTACCTTTCTGTAGGTGAGGGATTGTAAGGAAAAGGATGGAAAGCTTTACTAGAGACTGGAGAATGGTTACAGAAAAAGGGAGGGCATGAGAGAATTGAATAAACTATAATTAATAAAAAAATAAAATTTAAAAGTGCACTTACATAGAAATAATATATACACGTATATATTAATATGTATAAAATGTTAATCAATGCTTAATATAAACCATTTCCTTCAAAAGTTTTTTCTGCATCTATCCACTTGAAGTCACAAACAGGAATCTTTGCCCTTACATTTAGAAAAAAAAAATCTCAGTATAAAATTCTAAATACTTCACATTGGTGCCTTGAAGCCATACCAAATTTCTGAATTACAGGGTTGAGGGCACAAAACGTGCTCGTCTATAGATTTCTGGATTCACATTAGGAGCCACAACTTTCTCCAGGAAGTTGATTAAGAGTGGATAATTGCATCTTATGCTATACACCAGACCTGGCCTCTCTGAGGATGCAGGGTTGATACAGAACTTCACTGCTTTCTCGCTTTCTGAGATGTTCCCAAGGCCCCTTCCTGTGCAGATGATGTGCAAAGTAATAAATTAAGTGATAAGTGACATATTGCAGAATCCTGTCGTGCCTATACAGAACCTTCATATCACTTTGTTCGTGACACATTCTGAAAATGAGACTTTATGCAGTTGGCCTGCAGAAACGTTTCCACTTAAAGAGATCACATTAGGCAGTATGTCAAAATGAATAAATCCATATCTGCTTGGTGAGTGACTCTTATGCTTGTTGCTTCTCATTTAGCTTATAGATGTAGCTATGCACTCCAGCTAGGGAGACTTGGTCAATCCTGAGCAGGTCTAGCATCTAGAATCCCAAAATTCCAGAATTCTAGTAATTAGTGTCATTTCGGAAGAACTTATTTTCAAATTTCTCAAAGCTGTTTTGCTTTTAAGATTTCAACAAAGACCTCAACATAAAACCAGACACATTAAATCAGCTAGAAAAAAAAGTGGGGAATACCCTAGGACTCATTGGCACAGGAAAAAACTTCCTGAACAGAACACCAACAGCACAGGCTCTAAGATCAACAATCAACAAATGGGACCTCATGAAACTGAACAGCTTCTGTAAAGCAAAGTACACCGTCATCAAAACAAAACCAATGCCTACAGATTGGGAAAGAATCTTCACCAACCCTTTATCTGACAGAGGGCTAATATCCAGCATATATAAAGAAGCTGAAAAGCAGCAAACCAAGTAATCCAATTAAAAAATGGGGAACAGAGCTAAACAGAGAATTCTCAACAGAGGAATATCGAATGGCAGAGAAACACTTAAAGAAATGTTCAACCTCATTAGCCATCAGGGAAATGCAAATCAAAACAACCCTGAGATTTCACCTTACACCATCAGAATGGCCAAGATCAAAAACTCAAGTGACAACACATGCTGGAGAGGTTGTGGAGAAAGGGGAACCCTCCTCCACTGCTGGTGGGAATGTAAACTGGTACAACCACTCTGGAAATCAATCTGGCGCTTTCTCAGACAAATAGGAATAGCACTTTCTCAAGATCCAGCTATACCACTCCTGGGCATATATCCAAAAGAGGCTCAAGTACACAATAAGGACATTTGCTGAACCATGTTTATAGCAGTTTTATTTGTAATAGCCAGAAGCTGGAAACAGCCCAGATGCCCCTCAACTGAAGAATGGATGCAGAAATTGTGGTACATCTATACAATGGAGTATTACTCTGCAATGAAAAATAAGGAAATCATGAAATTTGCGGGTAAATGGTGGGACCTGGAAAGGATCATCCTGAGTGAGCTGTCCCAGAAGCAGAAAGACACACACGGTATATACTCACTCATATAGACATGTAATATAGGATAAACCTACTAAAATATGTACATCTAAAGAAACTAATCAAGAGAGAGGACCCTGACTAAAACGCTCAATCCCCATCCCAAAAGGCAAAGAGGATGGATATCAGAAGAAGAAAACAGGAAACAACCTAGGAACCTGCCACAGAGGGCCTCTGAAATACTCTGCCCTGCAGACTATCAAAGCAGATGCTGAGACTTTATGGCCAACTCTTGGGCAGAGTGCATAGAATCTTATGTAAGAAGTGGGAAATAGTAGGTTATGGAGAGGACAGGAACCCCACAAGGAGAGCAACAGAACCAGAAAATTTCAACACAGGGGTCTTCCCAGAGACTCATACTCCAACCAAGTACCAGGCATGGACATAACCTAGAACCCCTGCACAGATACAGCCCATGGCAGTTCAGTGTCCAAGTGGGTTACATAGTAATGGGAAGAGGGACTGCCTCTGAGATAATTTGATTGGCCTGCTCTTTGATCACCTCCCTCTGAGGGGGGAGCATTCTTACCAGGCCACAGAAGATGACAATGCAGCCACTTCTGATGTGATCTGATAGACTAAGATCAGAAGGAAGGAGAGGAGGACCTCCCCTATCAGTGGACTTGGGGAGGGGTATGCGTGAAGAAGGGGGAGGGAGGGTGGGATCAGGAAGGGAGGAGGGAGGGGCTTATGGAGGGAAAATCTTTTTTTGGGAATAAAGTGTAATTAATAAAATAAAATTAAATAAAAAAGATTTTAACAAACAAACAGCAAACAAACAAACAAAAACAACAACCCTGCCTTTTATTTCTGACACAGTTCTCAATAGGTAACTCATATAGTTTTTCTTCCACACTTATGAACTTCCCTTCTTCTTGTGTAATATCTCCTTGGGTAACTGGGCTCCTCAGCCCTTTAAGTTACTCATGAAGTCCGTTCCTGTCTATGTGTGAGGCACTGTGCGCGTGTTCTAGACTGCTCCTTCACTTGAGCCAACAAAAGGGTCCATTTTATCTTCCTACCCCTAAAGTCATTATTAAATACATGTATACATTAAATACATGCTTGCACATGATAAGTGCAACTGCAAGTTAAAATGGAAACAGAAACGTTAAACATATTCTGAAAGACAATGTGAGTTTCTGTACTTGCCATGTATAATTAAACTGCTCGATATGAAGTATTTTACAAATTAAGAGAGTGGATAAATAAAACAACAAACTTTTCTCAATCTCATCTAAAATGTTTTAAAATCAGGACATGGCATGTTGAACCCCCTACATCTAACTACAATACAAAGTATAATAGTAAAATTTAATGCTAAAAGTAACAATTCATAGTCTAGTCTTTTAAATAAGCAAAAATGTAAAGTGTTCAAGGAGGATTTTCTTTCCATTGGTATTCAGATTTGAC